TTTTTATAATCAAATACATGATTTGCACGTTCAAACCAATATGAGCGATTCAAAACACAACACAACAAAAGTATTTGGAAAATCTCTAACTGTTACTCCACTGCACGTCTTTTAAGATTATTTTTATACAAATGTTTACAACATGCTAATAATTTATTACTTTAAGAATCTTAACGATGAGTGGTAACTTTTTTAATTTTTTTTCTTCAAACTTATAGGTTGTAACCGTCCACCTTCTTCGATTTTGCCCCAGCTAACTCAGGGTCACTCACGGGGATCGAACGTAGAATAAAGTCACAACTGCACTTAAAATTCAGTATATTTATTTAGTAGTTTCTTTTACAGAGAAACTTGCTTATAATATAAATTTGGTATCTCTCCTTCTAGAGACTTTCTTATAATATTACTTCACTGGTCTCATTCCTTCGAGAGACCACATACGAGTCCCCCAACTAGTCTTTTACTCATTATAATCACCTCTTTGTTCAAAGGGACTTCGCCACAGCTTGCCAACACAGCATTCTTTCTCATAACTCCAATACACAATCATGAATAGTTTGGTAACAAGAATAATGAAAGCATTGCAAGCATACGGACGTCAAAACAAGGTCCGGCCGGTTATAAGGCCTATTTAATTAATATTACTGTTAGTGCAACCGCCGTTTGAATTGTAATTAAGCCTATTTTTAGGCCACAATACCCCTCGATCTAGCCTGACGTAATAATAGGGATAATATGTCTGCAATAAATAACATAAAACGATCGACATAACAAATTCTCATACAAAAGATGAAGCTTTTTTAATTTGAATTTTTAATCTACTGTTGTTAAGGAGATTAAATAAAGAATGATGAGATGAACTGAATTGAGATATAAGAAATGTTTACAAAATTTTGGTCGAAAAACTTGAAGATGACCATTTGTTTGAAGGAGCATGTGGAAAACTAAAATTATGGAGGCTATGTTTTAAAGGAACAACCTGGAGTTACCTCTGAAATTTGGAGTTATCGAAGTTGCTAATAGAGCTCTCATATTATGGGACGTCTTAGTTTCGCACTGCTCTCTTTAAGAGACTCAGCTTTAACAGCCTATTTCTTTCATAGTTCTTGAGTTTCTTCACCTTTCCTCTTTCGTAGGTATTGAATTTTCATTTTGGAGTCGTATCATATGAAGACGCCGTCAGCATAAATGTGAGGGTTCCCCTGCTTAACACTGCCGGTAAGACAAAAGAATATTTGAAACTTCACCAAGGTCTTCAGCGAACACAGTGAAAGGGATACGCTATTGAGTGTCCCCGTACACAGAATTATTGACACAAAACTACTTTAAAACGCACTAATATCATTCAGAAAAAACCGTGGTGCATTTTCAATACGACTGTTTTAAAAATTATGATCACATTAATTTCCGAAAATCTAGATTTGCCCGGATTGCCGAAAGGAGAAATTCCGTGGGATAATACGTAAGCTGCAATGTACCAGAAGGTATAACAAGGTGATGAGGAGAGAGAGAAATGCAACGAATAAATTCCTTTAGAATGTCGCAGATTTCAAAATTCTTAATTGTATTATTAAATATTTTGAATTATTTTACTTCCTGCTACTAATGAGAAGCTGTGTCAGGAATATTTTAGAACGGCTATTCACAAAATTACTAAGGCACTTTTCAGGAATTTAACTCAAAAATGTCCTGCCACGTTAATAATTTCTCTCTCTCTCTCTCTATCTCATCATTCAACTTTTTGTCCCTGCCCGTAGCACACGGAAAGCAGAATAACTTGTGGTGTAATTTAGTGTTCCCTAAAATCACAAATCACACATATAAAAAAGGTAATGTTAAAAAGTCAGGTAATGTCTCCGGCAGCACAACGTGAATACATGTGTGGTAATGGAGGTATAGCTCCACTCTTTCGGAAGTGAGTGATCAGCATCGCACCCCGACCGTTTTAACCCCAGGGAAAAGGTCCCCGGTTCGTTTCGGATACTGGATGGGCACGCCAGAGCTGAAGACGTAATTTCCCATCCCCAATTCACCTAACAGAAGCCGAGACCAGCGTTGTTTCAACATTTTAAGACGATCCATGTCGCACCTCTTCGTTTGTTACCTCTGGAGGAACGTCATCACTCGATGTTCGCACGAGACAGCGTTCGATAACCAGCATGAGAACTATTTTACGCCGTCTACGCCGCGCTTAAGGTAGGATTCGCTACCCTTTGAGTGTCTTGGTGTATGGTACGTAATTAGCATTATCAACCCTTGCCTCTCGACAGCCCTAAAGGGCGCAGCAGACACAGCGACATTTACAACTTAAAAATATTCTTTTCTCTCTACACTCCCACCCCTCACCCTCCACGAACCACGTAAAGGACAAGAGGCGAAATACTTGGTACACCACTGGCAACTCCATCCAACCCCCAACCCCCCAACTCTCACGGCAATCACAAGCAGCTAGTCAAGATACGCTTTAAGATTCGTTACCTACCGCGTTCACTTGAAACCATCAGTGGTCCCTGTCCTAGACCAGATAAATCCCATCGACAGTCTCCTTTCCTATTTAAAACTCATCTTAATAAAATCTTAATTTCAAGGTAAATATATAGTTGCCAGAAGATGGCTGTCTTCGGGGTTGTAGCGCCGTGTATTTGCCAACGTTTTAAGGGTCCTTGCAATCACTCATTGCCCTGATGATGGAGACAGCAAGGACCTCTGAAACGATGGAAAATACACGGCGCTACAACCCCGAATACAGTCATCTTCGTAGTCGCCACCGTGAAAACCTCTAATCGTACTACATACGAATTGCAGTAATTTCGACCTCACAGAAAGAATGTGTAGGCGGCAAATATCAAAGAGAGCTCATCTTGGCAGTGCATCACATTCATGCACCAGTTCCGTAATACGAGCGGAGCTGAAACATTGTCAGTAAAACAGGAACACAGAAATAAATTATTAGCTACAGAAATGGATTATTTAAGGCGCTAGGCAAGGATACTACGGATGGATACAATTAGAAATGAAACACCCAGAACAAAACTCGGAACAAAGAAAGACATTTTACAGCAAACACAAAAACAATTAAGCTAGTGCGGTCACGCGAATGGAGGACAGCAAAATTGCTAAACGGGTTGCAGAGCGGAATCCACAGGGGCAAAGAAAGCGCGACGGACCAATCAATGCGTGGAAGGATGGAATTACGGACAGTATGAGGAAAAGACGTTTGAATGATGAAGAATGTTCGGATCGAGTGCTTAAGAGAAAATAAATATGTCTTTGGGTTGAGGAAAACTGTGTATAAACAGAACAATTCCTAATTAATTAAAACCCACCCCTATGGAGCACCTATTAAAATCTCTAAATTCGTTGTTCAGTCCGTTTGTAAGCATGAAAGAACATAGGAACGGCTGAAAGGATATTAAAATGAACTTTATATTGTGAAGTTTTAATAAAATTTTTCAAACATCTTAATTCTACTGAGAATCAGACAATAACGAGCCCTTTACTAGAATGAATACACGTGTTTATGCAAGCCGAAAGTAGTGTGTGGGATAATTAATAATATTAATAATTAGTTTGGACGTCATGGTTACTATGGTGACCTAGTTTATTTCATCTTAGAATTGGTGTCGACGGTTTGAATCAAACTTGGGCCTTCACAATACCAAATATATATCAGAAAATAATCCCGCGCTTTATTTAGAATTTCTAAGGACGCTCAAGATTATGTGGGCCCTGCGAACTACCCCGAACTTATCGCTTCTGATTGGCTAAGTTATCCGTTCCACATTTCATGTCCATGTATGGGAGACACGCATGCTTTGTTCAGCCTGACATGGAGGCCCTTTTAACGCTAACACACACAGTTGGGGAGTGATCCTTACCACTGCATCATCAAAATTCCAATGGCTACCCCATGCTTCACACCAGATGTGGGACAATTACAATTAACCCTTATAACCCCGAAGCCTATTTGAAAAATCCTGTTGAAAACACCCAGGCCAATTTTCACGTGTTTACAGCTTAAAATGTAAAAATTCACCAAGATAAGAATTTTACACACACACATATGAAAAACATCAGATACTGTGGTTTACGAAAAAAATTCTCATAAATTTTGTTATACTTAGCTTATAAATAATTTTGAAATATTGAAAAATAATTTTTACAAAAATATTTTCAGGAGGTAAAATCATAAATTGTGTTTTGTCTTCCTCCTTCATCACTCACCCTGCAAGAAAGAACATTTCTTTCTGCATAATTTGATATGTTTCATGTCTGTACTGTTATCTGTTCCCGAACAACAATTTTTGTAAAATAATGCACACGGAAATTCAATGTCTGACATGGTGTCAGCAAATGTGCCTTTTAATTCTGCAGCACTGTTATCACTTTCATTATAATCAGACACACTTTCCGGAATAATGTCACTTCACTATAGTATCCAAATAATCGAAAATATCGGCTGCACACATTATTGAACTTGGACCGAAGTGAGAAATCTAAAAATACTAAACCTATACACAATAAATTAAGCAAAGTATCGAAACGATATCATAAGCAATATATAAACGTAAACTAAAAACACAATCACAAGGCTAAACACTTATCTTAGCAAAAATACAGCGAAATCCACAAGAAATAATTGTAAGCACGCCACTAGGTCCCCTTCCGAGCTCAACGAATTTTATTTGTTTAAAAAAACATTTTTTGTTAGCCTAAAAGATCGAACTTTACAGAAAAACATGAACTGTGGTACAAACTATCTCATGAGCCTTGTGTTGCCATCTGGATGACTTGTATGTAATCCAAACATTAGATTTAGTAGGTAACGACGGATCGGCCGGCTGGTACGCAAAGGGTTAATATTAACAAGTTTAAAAACATGGGGTCTAAATAAGGGTGAGAAGGGGTGCCGGGAAATTTCGAACGTAATATTTCAGTACCAAGTCAAGCTTTGTCACAAAGCATCGGGTGCTGTATCAGAATCTGTTCTTGCGTTGCAGCGATCCCTCACCACCTTAGCATCGCAGCGACGGATCACTCGTGGGGACCGTTCGGGCGAGTGACGGGCGGCTACGCCCACCACTACCTGCCGCCCCACTGCGGGGCACCGCCAGGGCTGCACGCTCCGCACTTCCCGCCACACGTACTGGCACTCACCAGCCCTGAGCAGCCCCTTACATCGCCCACTAGACTGTCTTCAGGTACGGCCACGTCCGCAGCGTAAGAATGCGCTGCATTCTGCAGAATCTGCCTCCGACACCCACAGTCAAATACAATTAAGACTAAGAAATTAAAGATGAGATGGGGAGCATGTAGTGAGCATTGGGGAGAAGGGATTATGAAACTTTGTTTGGAGAGGCTGGTGGAAAGAGACGCACTGCATGGCCGTGTTCTAGGTGGGAGGATGATATTAAAATGGAACCTACATAAATAGGTTTTGAAGGTGTAAACTGAATTCTCGTGGCTCCGGATGAGGTCTGGTGGCGGGCTGTCGTAAACACATGAAAAGGCATGGACTTTCTTTACTAGTTGAGCGTACTACCAGCTTCTCTGCTCTATAGAGTTATAATAACAGCAGCAGGTTAATCTCGCTTGGACCCTGTGATATACGAATCGGATACGTTTTCTTTCAGTTTCGGAGCCCCAGGGCCGCTCATCCAGCGACACGACCCTAGGGCCCATCAGTATCAGCGTAGCGAGCCACAGCAGTAGCAGCACGGTCAGCAGCCAGCCGACGGTAGGGACAGCGAGGAGTCCCAAATCAAGGCGCCGGGGACAGCACGGACTGCTCACAACCGCCCCGCGCCTTTCACCCACAGCCGAAGATACCGCCACGCCAACTCCAACAGTCCAGGATGCTCCATCGTCGTCCTCATCAGCATCTCCTCTCGAACCCGCACCGCCTTCACCCCCTACGATACGATTCCCACCCACGGCGCACCCACATCCTCACTTCCATCCCCTGTTACACCACCACCACCATCACCCTGGAGGCGGGCAACATTCGGCGTACTTCAGCAGTGCAGCTGCAGCCGCGGCGGCTGCTAGTCTATTTCTTAACACCCCTTTGCTACCACCGACGTCACAGTGGTTATACTCCCAATTATATGGTGGTGGGGCCAACCCCCTGCACACACACCTACACCCCCATCTTCATCACCTAACCACAGCGCACAGACAGCCGCTGGCATTGCCGTTAAGACGAACAACTGTCCCTGAAGTGGAGGATAACACACCAGAAGCCCTTGTGACAGACAGCGCCACTGCAGAAGAGGCTCGCAGTAGCTCTGCTTCTCCACCTGCAACGCCGACGAAGAAAGTAAAATCATCGGTGAAGCCATCCACGACAACCGCGGAAACTACTACAAGACATTCAGACGTTTGGCGGCCATATTAGTAACTAAGGGCGCACGATTTGCCGAT